TTTTGCCAACGCCGCTGTCACCAGTAATCAACACGTTCTGCCCTTGTATAAGTTGCAGGGAAAGATCTGAAGCAAGATTTGTAAGAATAGCCGTACCGGTTCCCGTGGCTTACACTTCACTATACAACTACAAAGATATGAAAAAAGCTTATAAATATGATTTCTTACAGACAGGACTTGGAAACTTACTGGCGATTATGACATTGTGTGCATCATTGGGAGCAGCTAAAGTGGCTGAATCTAATGTCATCGCTACTCCATCGTCAGGGCACTCATCATCGCGGTCAACAGTGTTACCTGGAAAATTACGTGAGTGCTCCACGAAGAACAAATCGGTTGCCTCTGCATACCTAGAAGAAACTGTGCTTCCTCCTCATCGTCGCAATCTCGCTCCAGTGAAAGCTGTTTGCCATGTAATTCTTCGATCTAAACACGACATGGTTATGAAGACGTAGCGATTTTCAATGATAATCACCGCTTTGGAAGTAATGGCCTTCTCCTCTTCGTCACTCCCGATTACTACGACGCTTGATGGTACGGTGGAAGGAGGCCTGTCCGTTTCAAGACAATCTGAGTGCAACCGTCGTAGTTCTTCCAATAATTCGATTACCCTGTGATGAGACATTAACAATTCTTGTCTTCCTAGAAAACACAAAGTATTAAAAAAAACAGAGCCTTCTCTGACTTGCAAAAACATGCAGACAACCCAGTAGGTTGGCGCTACACAGAAGGCCACTATCCCTTTCACTCTTCAGGTTAGAGACTTACAATCAAAAAAGGAAATATCAGAAAAGTGATTCAAATGCAAAAGAAACACAAAAACAAATTCTCAGTTCAATGATCAATGGAATTGGCATCACCCGCTCCCTCCCTCCCTCCCCTCTCATTTCAAGTAACTTCTGTCCCTTCTAATTATCGCTACTATGTTCATCACATTCTTATCTCTAAGCTACTTCACCAAACAACACGAATTGAAGCGAAAGCAAAAGTACAGAAGCAAAATACAAGGTGATCAAACAGTTACATATACATGAAATTACTATTTTCAGTGGTGCGCTGCACGGATACTAGATTACTGTTTGCACATTAGCGTGACTATAACCGATAATACATGACCAAAGTACCTGTGCGTAACACCAGCAAGATCTCCTAGTTTCTCTGATAGTGTGATCAGATTTGTAAAGCTGTAGATCAGATAAAGATAGAAGAATGCATTCTGTAAAGAAAATCAGTAAAACATTCCGTTGCCTTGACAAAATCTCAGCAAAAGAGTTGCTAAAGTCTGCTTGTTTGCATACGCTAATTTGCAGGTCACAACTACGGATTTACCCCGACCATAACTTGGGAAGAGTATAACATTATCAGTGGAGCCTTCCCTTACCTTTCCTTAGCATGAATCAATTTCTGTATATGTCGTACCTAGTCAGTGGTAATGTTCAATAGACGCTGGTGTGTTAATACTTAATGTATTAATTTAATGTACAATACTTTCAAAAATCAATTAGCCGCAAATTTGAAATTCTGAGCCAGAAAAAGGAGAGCCTGAAAGTGACAGGCTCCGGATTTTTTGCTTTCCTGAAGTGATGCAAACCATACAATCCCCTGGACTGATGGCAATGCATGCGCTAACCAAGTCACCTGACAACAGCTGCCACTTAACATCATTCAAAAGTTTTGCAACATCCAACAGCAAAGTTCTTATACTAAAGCTTTGATAAAATTCATCAACAGTGGAGAATTCAGCCGACTACGATTTTGAAACAACTAAAACTGGTAGAACCAGACAAAAACGAAAACCTCGTTACGCCTTACTACAGCGAACCCTTGCAAGTGCAATGATCGAAATCAGAAACCTTTGAGAACCACATATGAGCTTCAACCCACATGTGGGTGTCCGAATTCAGTTTTGTGTTACATTTATCACTATCACTAAAAGCGATGTGATATTTGGTGCTATGCACTATAGATGAGCTTAGCATTACGTGACTACTGATAAGATGTACGCCTTTTTACAGCTGAAAGACAAAGATCTCACCATTGACACGACACCATTGAGCTCAGTACCAGAGAGCGAATCATAAGTATGCGTCATGAATATGGGAATGGCGATGATAAGATATGAGAGTGTTCCACCAAAATAGTCGAATATATTTGTGACAATGCCAAGAAGAAATCGCCACTCAATAAGCTTTCTCTGAAAACAAACATTTTAGCAAGCTGAGAGCATCTGCGATGAAATGCAAGCTCATCACCTTGGTTTTCAACAATACTTTCAGCTTTTGATTTGCCATGATGTTCTCAATGAGACCAGATTGATAAAAGGCAATTGACTCCACATTAGTTCTGACTTCCATGTGACGCTGACTACAGTTCACGACTTCAACGGCTGCGCAAGCATAAAAAAGGGAAAACCAACCGGAAGTCGCCCTCCCTCTTCTCAGTTTCATTGACAAGACCCACGATAGGTGACAAAAGGTAGCGATTGATAGTAGTAACAAGAGCAAAATAAACATAAATTGTGAAAGGACCCATCCAACCTGAGCTGAAATCAGAAGGATCTAGCATTAGCATCAACTGGGTCAGAAATGGAGATGCATACCTTTTCCAGGTCAGGTAAGAGTAATACAGAATGATGAAAGGTGCAGTGATGACTGGAGCGAAGAGATCAACAGCAAGTGCCTGAGTGGTCTTTTCGATATCTTGAGTAAGCCGCTGGTCGCTGGAAAAAAGATTCTCGAACGATGTTGAAAAAAACTAAAACTATAGCGGGATAGAGCATGGAAACTTACATGTTATCAAGACCCTCAGACATAGTACCCAGTTTATAAAATGCTCTTCTTTTGAAATAAAGTCTGTGCAGAGTATATGTGCATAATTCTCTACACCTGATTGCAAGAATAGAGGTGAAGTACTTGATTGACGCAAGAGACTAAAATTCATAAGATAAATTGTTGAGAAAAAGGGGGAAAAGCAACTCACCAATGATTTCGCTATGACTATCACCGTGGCTTTAGCAATTAAAAGTTTGAATGCGGACAGATCCCTATTTCCAAGAACAACATAGAACTGACTTGGCAATATTCCAACAAAGTATGTCCCTACTTGGTCTGAAACGAACAGATCTGTATGAAAAAAATTTTGCACCCCTCTCTTTTGATATCTTCTCGCGTTCTTCCGGCAGCCTTTCCCCCTTACATTAAGCGATCACGCGAACGACCTCCGTGATGGGTCGTGAAGAGTTAGCTCTATGTGATTAGAAAATGCACTTTCCTTCACGCCACTAGCCGTTTACTCTGCCACTCTTGAGAGAGAAAGTAAACATTGTTATGATGTGGAATATCACCTACCACACGTACCTGACTATGATCAACGATCTGGGCAACTATACACGTAAGGGACCACTATTATATGAATATAATTTCATTTCCCTTTATACAGATGTCACACTCAGCAAAAATAAAAATGAAGCGCATGATCATCTAGCAGAACACTCAAGATGCTACCACTGTACTTTATCCCAATCCCTCCCCC